CATCAATTAGTTTTTCCAAAAAAATTAATAGTTTAAGCAAAAAACGTTTGGTTTTATACTTTTTATTCACCTGATATGACAATAATAAGTAGTTGCCTGCAAATGAATTTTAACGAAATTGTTTAAAGTGATGTAATCTGAAAAGTACAGATTTCTTAGAAAGGCTTAATTACTAGGTTATTAAAATGGCTTGTCTGGGGCAAAACCATTTTATTTATCCTCTTCCATTCATCGTGTGCCAGAAATACTAAGTTTAGTGTACTGGAGGAAAAAAAAATATCCCAAATTTGATTTTTTATTGATAAAATTGCATATTTGGCATATATTGGAGCATATTTCTTAATATTTTGTGCACATTTTTGTGAAAATACGTACGCATATAACCCGACCCTTACTTATTATAATTGCAGTATTTTACTAAAGATTGATATTTAATTGAGGCAGACTATAATTAATGAAATTTGTCAAAATGAGGAAGCTCTGTGACCAATTAAATTAAATGGTAATCTGCCAATACGGTTTTAATAAAATCAGAAAATGAAATTTGTAGCGAAATAAATGAGAAAATTTACTGTTTGATTGATCAATAAAATTTCATTAGGTTTTTCGGAAGCAGTTTTATTTCAGGAAGTAAAAGGGTTATAGAAACATTCTCGCCAAGATCGCTTCATCCAAGTTTGTAATTGGATTTATATGACTGGAAACTTAGATTAGCTATTTAGCAGTCAAATTGAATAAATGTGTATTTTGTGTAATTGGAAAGACTGTTTGTGTGGCCTTGAAGGTAAATTAAGTATCCATTGTATTAGCTGAACTAAAAAATTATGTAGGTATTTTTTTGGCATTGCAATTTCTAAATAGCCCATGGCGATTGGCGCTACCAATGCATTTCCTCTCATAAATCGTAAACGAATTGAAAAAAATCGCAACGTTGATTATGTTCTTGTTACTAAGATTACCGTCACTAAAGGCAAACAATTTGATTATGATTTACAGAGTGTTGAAAAAGAAGATAGAAGCTTGATATATACAACACCCTAAGACATGTTCAATTATGGTTTTAAGCAAATTTGCATTACGAAAATTCATACAATGTGTGTTAACGTTTGCTTTGTTCCACAAGTTTGCTATACTAAACAGGTAATAAAAAATGTGTTTGAAAAGCTCGTTATGACAGAGGTGTATTTGCATTTTATAGTTTCTGGTAAAATACGAGGTAATAAATAGGTTAGTGCCTCATGTTTTACACTCTCATCAAAATTATTAATATCATAGTGACACGACGTGGCGCCATCATTTATTCATCCCGTCTTTGCAAATGGTAAACTTTCTATTAAATATCCTGTAAAAAATTGAAGCGGTTTTGTGTAATTTCTCACAGCAGATGGAAGTCAGGAGTTTGCCTTTGATTAAATTGGATCAGGTTATCTACAAGTGGCAGGACAAAGGTCTTAAATTAAATTGCCTCTCATATATCTTGACCAATATTTGATTTTGTTTGAGCAAAAAACTTTACAAGAATAAGATGCCTGGTTTAGAGCAAAATGTAGATAATTGGATGCTTTGTCTCTATCACAAGCCGCATCTTTGCAAAGGACAACTTATCCCAAACATTAATCTCACTACCTGGACTCGCATGCAAATATGTAGATAACATAAAATAAAAAGATTCACATCAGTTGCCAGTTTTGCGAACAACATTTACCAATTGCTACAATTGAATTCAACAGAAACCCAATTTACATAAAGAGACGGCAATTGAGGGCTATAAATAGGGCTGTTTGCTTCGTTTTACAGTTAAAGATGTACTCCTTTAGTCTAATTCCGCTTGTGCTTTGCATCGCCATACAAGGTGGGTTACAATTACAATTCCAATTAATAATTTCAAATTTATTCAGTTGGTGGTGTAAAATATTGCTATGAAAAACATTGTGTTAACTGTGATACGAAAATCGACATCAAGCAATGTCCAGATATACATTCTCTTTGTGCTTCCAACTTTTTTACAGATTCGAGTAAATATAATCCATTTGATTGAAATTGGCATAACAGTAGGCCATGATTGTGTAAATCGTGCTTTAAATGTGAAAAAGGCTTTACATATTTTCCTCCACCACTCTCGTTTCGTGCAGCCAGGTTCACACTCGAAAAATTATTGGAATGTTATTAAAATAAAGCGTCATATTTTACAAAACATGGAAAAATGAGCATTTTCAATTGCAAATCACTATTGTAGATAGTTTTTTGACGTTTTTAATGTAATTCTCTCATGAATAACAATTTAAATGAATTATATTGTTGCAAATGTGCGATTCAAGGTCTAATGTATTTCACGTATGCATTATTAGCTTTATTTTTTTCAAGTGTCATCCTGTTTATCGATTTTTTTCATTTTTGTAGAAAACGTAGCTTATTAAAAGGGCATTTGACTGTAAAAAAATGGTTGGGTTACAATGGCTTTTTAGGGCTGTAATGAATTTTTTCCGTTTTCTCAAAATTCGTTAATAATACAAACTTTATTTTTTTCAAGTGTCATCCCGTTTATCGATTTTTTTATTTTTTTCATTTTTGTGAAAATAAAGCTTATTAAAAGGGGCTTTGGCTTTAAAAAAATGGTGAGGTTACAATGGCTTTTTAGGGCTGTAATGAATTTTTTCCGATTTCTCAAAATTCGTTAATAATACAAACTCTATCTTTTTCAAGTGTCATCCCGTTTATCGATTTTTTTCATTTTTGCAAAAAATGAAGCTTATTAAAAGGGCATTTGACTGTAAAAAATGGTAGGGTTACAATGGCTTTTTAGGGCTGTAATGAATTTTTTTCGTTTTCTCAAAATTCGTTACTAATACAAATTTTATTTCTTTCACTTTTCCATGTTTTGTAAAATATTATGCTTTATTTTAATAATATTCCAATAATTTTTCGAGTGTGAACCTGGCTGTACGAGCAGGCATTTTTCAATAAACCATGTAGGTAAAAGTAATCAAAGAAAAACAAAAACCCTATCAGCTGTCATGCGCAGGGCTACAAACTTAAATACGAAATTCCATAGCCACCTATTATGCCAATTTCAATGAACTCTACTATACAATTTTTCAGTTTTAGATAATACAAAATACTTTTCAGTTGGGAATACTGAACGAGTTAAAACATGCGTCACTCCTGACAGTTTAACTTTTTGGTTACATCGTTGTAACTATTTCAATAAACAAGGAGGGTCTTGTTATTTGTGTAACGAAGAATTGTGTAATTTTCAAGACTAGAGTACACATTTACATAGACAATGGACATGAACAGTTAAAATTACTGAGAATTAGAACAAGAAATTGTGACCTTTATTATTAATAAAAATTGTGTGTAAAATAATGTTTTATTTCGTGTATTTGTCGAAATCAGGATTTGTTCCAGATCAGTGTAACGTTTTTAAATTAAGAATCTTGTTGCATAATTATGGTTAAGTAGGGCATGTCACAAAATTACATAAATTATAATTACCAAGTATGCTTAATACAGAACGGAAGTATTTACAGTTGTCTTCAATTAGTTGCAAATCCGTCCAGACTGACGAAATCGTTGCGGGAATTTGTCTTTGATCGCATCAACATCCCGTTATCCCAATATAATAATACTAATGTTGAGAAATCACTAACTGTAACTCTTGAAGCGCCATATGCCACCTCGATGTTATCATAATAATCAGCCAAATTACGTAACATGAAACGTTGCATAGTTATTATCATCATTAAATGCAATCTCCCTTTCGATCAATTCTTTGGCAGCCTAAACCGATGTGAAACACAAGGTCAACGATGTTGGACTGACTCTCACGAACAAACATTTACCATTCAATAAATAACAATCAATGACAGATGAACATTATTATTTGAGATTTGACGGCACGATCAGCGAAAATGCGGTACTCGACGGGATTTATGGTAAGAAATTAGGAATTCGGACGTGCGAATCATTTGGGAGGTTTCCAGTGCTTCCGACGCGCTTAAATATACGTCAATGGAGAAAATGAAGGAAGTATTTGTAATAGCAGTGCAGTCAGTAGGGGCCAAAAAAGGCCTTTGTTCTACAAAAGGTGGGATAACTCCGCAGCGGTTGATTCTACGACAAAAGTATTTAGATAAAAGTTAAAGAAGACAAAATTCTTCACATTTTTTGAATAAACATGTTTTTTGTAAGTCTAATGTGTAACGAGTTATAGCGACGGAAAGATGAAAATTTGTTTTCCCAGAAAAATAGCAAACCTCCCCATTTTCGACGGTGAATTTCGTAAGAACAAATTACACTTGTTTTTAATGTTTTTATACCGTATTTCAAATTAGACTGATTTTTCTTTTTATATATAGGGTTATTCATAAATATGAAGCAATATTTGAACCTCAAAAATGACCTATAAAACGATGTTAATTTAATAATAACTCGTGTCCTATCTCTATTCATAAAAATTTTACAGCCCTCGAAACGTGGGTATGGAATTTTTTATTTTTTTTTTGTAATAAGTTCAGAACCATTTGACCAAAATACAGAGTGGTCCAGAAGTCTGGAAACGCTTAATATTTTCCGGCGAAACTATCAATTTTTTGGCAAAAAAAAATATAGGTGTACAGGGTGCTGCATTTTGGATGTCCGAGTAGGGAATCTCCGAAACTAAGAGGTTTAGCCAAAAACGAGTGATACATTCTGGGGCTTATTTTTTGAGAAAATAATATTGGTTAAAACCGCATCCCCGCTATCGTCTTTTGTTTTCGACTTATAGACAAAAATTGACATTTTAGCGAAATCTAAAAAAATTTATTTATTTATTTATTTATTTATTTATTTATAAACATACTCACAATTTTTTTTAATGGAAATCTACCACATTTTTTTAGACAACGAGCTTGTTACAAGAATTGCTGCTGTGCAAATTGTTTTTTGTAAACTAATAAAAAATGTTTGACTTACAAGTATTAAAGATTTTTTTAATAAACTAATCGGTTTTTTTTAAATAAATTGATGAATGTTTAAAGGTTGTAAAGAAGCGATGCCAATATATTTTTTATTTTAATTAATTGTTTAAACGTACCACCCCTTGGCCGGTGGAAGAAAGTTTTGACAACAGATAAAGTTTATAATTTTTTTAAGATAAATTGTAACATTTTTAATAAATATTTTTGTACATTTATAAAATGCATGAACATATCTTTGTGAAACAATAAATAAAAAAACATGTTATTTAAGAAAAAAATATGAATCGTATGGTAATCTCAAAAGTTTAAACAATTTTTCTCTTTAACATATTTTGTAATCGGATCTTTTTTCTTAAACTGTCTAATTTTTAACTTGATTTTAACTTAACTTGATTTGCAATATTTCCTAAAATATGCACGAAGTTGCCGAAATATGCATTTTTTAATTGGCCTATTTTAATCAAAAAACATCAGATATGCATAGAAAACTTATAATTTTGTTGATATACCTCTCAATAACAAATATGCATTTTGCATATAATCCGAGTCTTATTTATGAATAATCCTATATGTAACAAGAAAAATCAGTGTAATTTAAAATAGATATCGCTGTATAATTATTGTGGTGCGGAAAAAACATTAAAAACAAGTGTAATTTGTTCTTACAAAATTCACCGTCGAAAATGGGGAGTTTTACTATTTTTTGGGAAAAATGTTCATATTTCCGCCGCTGTAACTCGTTACACATTAGACTTACAAAAAAAAATGTTGATACAAAAAATGTGAAAAATTTTGTCTTCTTTAACTTTTATCTGAACACTTTTGCCGTAGAATCAACCGCTGCGGAGTTATTTTGGAAAAACCTATTTTTTGTACCTTTCATCCAAGACGGATGACAAAAATTTTTTGTCAAGGCCTAGACCTTAACAACATATTAAAAAATTACTACTACCCCACCTTTTGTATGGCAAAACTGACTGGACTATCGGTAAAAGTTTAATTAAAGCTGTTGTGCGTAAAAAGAGAGGGTAAAAATGTGTCAGATTAATGGCTTTACTAAAGTGTAAAATTAAGCGCATTGTTCGGTGTTCTTTGTGTCTGCGATCGCAAAATCTATCATTAAACGCACACGTAAAAAAATGCTTGCAAAACAATAACAACAGAGTTCATGTATTGGTTGTTTTGCGCTCTAGTTGCTTTATCATCCCAATTAATTATAGCTCGCAGATGCGTTTATCTGTTCTCAAGTTTTGTTTGAATAAAATATTACAAACCAGGTTAATAATGCAGAGAAAACTGCCAATTATGCGAGATAAACTAGCGCAAAAGTCTATTTTCGTAACCTGTTGCTTGCGGTCGAAAAAAGAACTATTTTAATGTGCTGGTATTAATTTTCGTAAATTTATCAAACATCTTCGAAAAATGCACAAAGATTACAGTTGTTGCGGTTTCTCGGCCTTGCAATTACATCAAAGATTTCTATGATGAAAAGATCGTATTGTGAACTGGAACGGTACATGAATTCCTTTTGCAAATTAACAAAACAAACACGTGTGGAAAAACCAAATAAGATGGAAAAAATCAATTTTCCTCTTCGAGAAATGAAATGGTGTTAATTCTTGAGATAAAACCCACACTCTCGGATGTTTACACGTTTTTCTCTTATTTTTAATTTACCTAGCGGTACTCTAATAAGTTTCATGTATTTTGTTTGTTCTAACGTTTAATCAAAAAATGCCGGCAATTATTCAAATTGTATAGATTGAAACGATTCACACGCAAATAAAACTATGGCCATTCTAACCCATTATGCTAAATTATCAACAGTTATTCCAATCGTTGCAGACAGTTAGATCATTTTGATATGTCGAAAATTGATGTTCTTGCAGCGCCAACGCATATTAAGAGCTTTACACGTAATTAAAAATAACTTATTAGAAATCTAGATCTGGATTACTTCACGGAACACGAGAGCAAAATTCTTGTAATTAAAAAAAAACATAAATCTACATAATTCCTACTTGTGACTGTAGCGTGTAAAGATATCATTATTTCTACCACTGAATGCCCGTTTAATTGCCTTTAGCTAAAAATTAATTACTACTATGATAAGCAATAATAGTCCGGTCAAATTAGTCATAAAAATAGTGGTCAAATAACGAAAATTCCGACAGAGCTAAATTTTGGGGAGACCTTGGGTACACCATTAGAAATAAAGTGTCAAAAGTCCCCATCGATCCCATGTGTGCTAAAAAAGTTATTTGGGGTCAAAGGTCAAAATTTGACGTTTTTTAGATTTTTTTCGAAAACGGCAAGTTTTATCAAAAAAGTAGCCCAGACAAAAATTATCTACAAAATAGTCTTTATACTTTTTTTCTAAGAATCACCATTCCTGAGATATCGCGATTCTAAAAGTTGAAGGAGTAACGTTCTACATCATATGCACATACAGAGTGCGCCACAACTCGCGCCCCAAAGACAAATGCCATGTAGGGTAAGGTACCAGGAACATAGAAATAATTAAAAAAAATTCTATATAAAAATTATGAGAGTTTAAATTTTGCACTTTGACTCTATTTATTTCTGTTGGAAAAATAATTTTCCAAGTTTTTTTGCTACAGGCTAATACAAGCGGAAACAAGGAAACTGTATCCTAACTTGTAACTCTGTTTAATGTTATTTGTGGCTTTTATTGACAAAATTTCTGTTCCTTTACTAAATAATTATAAAAAAAACATATACAAGGTCATCAGTATTATTAAATATACATAAAAAAATGTCAAATGTCAAAAATTTTTGACAGATAGAATTTTTTAAACATTTTTTCAGTACTCAGGAGACTATCCAATTACTCCCTTTCAAGAAAGTGCGCGATTTTTTAAACATCCTGTATGTATTACCAAATAATTGCTTTTTAATTCTAATGGAATCGCGATATTTATAAGTTTAATGAAGTAGAAGAAAAATTTCAAGTAAGATGAGATACCAGGAACATAAAAAAGTGTTTAAAAAATTCTATCTGTGAAAAAATTTTGACATTTGTTTTTTGACATTTAAAATTTTTTTATGTC